GTAAATCTCACTTCCCCTCTATCTCCACTAACCAAATACGCCAGACGCTGTAAATCTCCTATTTCCGACTACACTCTGCCAAAATGAGTTGTCGGAGCATTTCGCGGCCCTGGATCCGTTCCTTTTCATCTCCTGCATCAAAAATGATTACAAACAATAAACCTTGGCAACAGCATCTAAATTCATCTTAAGCAACGAGGAAGGCAAAGTCAAAGCAAAAAGTGTTGCAATCTGAATCTCCTATTATTACCGTCCGTCGTCTGGCAATAGGAGGAAGTTTAGGGGAAATCCACTTGTGATGTGRATTGTTTTCATCTGGAAATTAGGCCAGAAACACGTCGCTTGGAACGTCTTTATTGTCCCCAGCTGCTCCTGTATGGCAGGCTCATAAACAACTTCACTGTGCGCGACTATGACAGCCGATATAAGCCACATAGCATTCAAACACTTATATAATTGCTATTTTTARGATGCTTTTCAGAGAGCCGCAATAACTTTTGATTAGCTGAGTTTATTGGGAGGTGGGAAAAAATGCCTGTTTTGAGGCACCATTACAGCAGTTTGATTATCTTTTCATTCCTGTCTGTGGAGGTATAAAACATGATGAACAGCCAGAGAGAAACAGACACAAAAGTGCCATAGAGCTCCGTCACCCCCTCTGGGTGTAAGATGGCTTAATAACTTGTATCAAAGGCATAAGGGCAGCCTTCATGAGATGGTAATATTATAAACCTTGRGGATTATATAGACATAGGTAAGCTCGGTCACAAAGATTTGATGGGATTTTTCTAATGCACTTCAAGCAGCTCTACAAATCCACTGCAACACATTGCATTCACAGCCATTTATAGCTCCCATCTCTGTCCAGTGTCTCTCTCAGGGCAAAGCAAAAAGGCAAACAGGAGGAGGAAGAAAGTCAATGTGAGTGTATTGGTTTGACTGACAGATTAACTATGGTAATAGGTGTGTGATGATACATTGATCTATATCYATATATCACTTTGAATGGTTCGTGATTCAGTTATAGAGGCAAAATGAAAATATCGATCTATATCGTCATCATATGCTTGGTGGGAATCAATATCATCTGCCCATCTAACACAGTCATTGTGCTAGATGGGCAGATGATATCACATTATGTCGATCGCAGATATGTGAATTGAACTGAATCAAAATCATATCATGACAGACKTTGTGATAGAGAAATATCAAATCGTCATCAAAACGTATTGATGTCGTATCGTGATAAAGCTGGTGATTTACACCTCTAATAACTAAGTGAAAAATACTAGTGTTCATAAAAATTTAAATTACAATTAAAAATCTCTTCAAAACACATTTATACAGCATCTTATTCTCAAGAGCAACTTGATAAAGATCAAAAAKGTAAACTAATTTCCTCTAGTGGAGACAAAGAGAAGTCTAAAGGAAAAGTTCAATTCAGTTTACTGGCTTTGACTCAAATCTCTGGGATTACAAATCTATTTATGTCTTATTTACACTTCAGCTGGAACCTACAGTGCTTCTGTGGTTACATCTGCAATTAACAATAACACCTTTTGATTAACCAAACACTTTAGAGTTTAGCGGCAAATTACTGTAAATTAAAGGAAGTCCCACACAGCGATGCTCACCTCTCTGGTAAGAACAGCCAAAAAGCAGCCATTATTGTGCTCTGAAGGCTCCAGTACAAAGAATGACTTTGTTTCCGCTGTGGCCTCCCCACGCTCACATGAGTGGAACGGGGATGGGCTTGGCCTGGATAAAAAGGTGCAGAACACGACAGAATGTAAAACTAAGCGATGGTAGCTGCTAAAAATATAGTTCTATACCAGGCATGATAGAATAAAATATCTCTAGAGTGAAGAAAAGCATCGATAGAACTGTAGAACGGACATGTTCTGGGACTAAAATGTTTTGCTTTGTAATTAGAATCAGTAGAACTTGATCATACAGAGCTGTCAGAGCCCAGGTTTATATTTTAACGCAGTTTCAATTAGAGTTTAAAGCCAAAACATCTACTTTCAAAGGCTTAAGTCACAAATTAAACAAAGAAAGAAGTCAAGCAAAACATTGAAAACAGTCATTTTGCCCTTCTAAAATATAAATGTTTATATCATATCAGTGTTTTTTCCATTGACTAAATGATTAATAGTTGCGCACCTACAATGCACGTACAGACAGTGGGATCGATTCCAATGATGCCACTTCTGTCTTATTTATACCAGCCTGCAGCACTGCCAGCACGCCTGAACAGCTCYCTTCAGACAGGAGTCGGTCTCGTACGTTTGTGGGAATTAAAAATCTAAAACAAAGTCTTAGTTAAAAATTCAGAGGAAAAAGAAAAACACTTGGGATAAACGTGAATTCAAACTGTGTAATGATGGTTCCTTTGGGCTTTTCCTCAGCATCTAAAAAGACATAAAATGATGCCTTTGGTTATATTTTACTGAAACTCCTTGAGGTCTATCATGAGATTTACTGAGGCTTTGACAGAATCTTGATTAAAAGGAAACTGGGGGGGGAAAAAGGCACATCTGAAAGCTGATAGACAGTCTGGCAGAAAAATGAAGGCAGACGCAGAGAACACAAGAGACCGAGGCTTACCTGAASTTTAACTGTTTTGGTTCCCCCTTCTGGTCTGAGCAGGCTTTGGCTTTCAGCAGGGCTGTGTTTACCACGCTCACATTCTCCTCTGGGTACGTCGAACAGGTGGAATACACTACGGCCAAAACCATGGGAACTAACTAAATAAATAAATAAATAAATAAGTTTAAAAAAGGTTTTTTATATCAATTTATAAACAGTTAAATTTGATTCCTCATTTTCACTTATTTCCCCCATCATGAGCCATTTTAAAGAAATGGGTTCCAGCATGTTAAATTATTAAGATTTTATGCTTGTTTATGCTCGTTTGATTGAGCTGCTACAGGCTTAGTAATTTGTTATGTTGCCGATAGTTTGACATCCATCACTCAAAGTTTCTTTTTTTTTCTTTCCAACTCATTAGAGCCAGACAGAAACATTTAAAACTCAGCTGATAACAAATAGAACCTGCCTGATGTGACAAACCATCTCCAAACAAACATGAGGAATAGAGGCTGAAACAAAAATACAAAGAGATCAAAGACACGAGACCAAAATGTTCTTATAACCGGAGATTTCTGAATCTACGAAATCTTTAGAGCAGGATGTGTGTGTGTGTGTGTGTGTGTGTGTGTGTTCGCCTGAGCCTTTGTCAATGCATGTGTCCACATAAAGACAATGAAATGAGACAATTGACTTAATTGAGCCATGGCACTCAATACATACCTACCATTAATTACCAGTCCCATTAGAAAGTATCTACAGTGGCAAACAGATGGACAAGGGCAGATCGATAGCTGTGCGATTAGAGGAGGTGGTTTAGATTTTAACCAACCAAGAGACTCTGCCTGCTTGATGAACACAGCCCAGGCCAGATAAAGACAGAAGAGCATTGAACAAGACAAGATGGACTGAAGCTAATGAGAGCAGCCCGTGGATATCAATTAAGTTGAGTGAAATGAAGGAAAAGCCACATTGAGATCAGAAAAGAGAAGTYGCTGCTTGCAAAACAGAAAAATGGCATGTCTATGTAGCAAAACATAAAGTCATTTAACAAAACCAATATTTTTCACAAGTTTGGTTTAACAAAATGTACAGAACACGCTTGATCACTCATGGAAAATTGAGCTTCAGGCGACCTCGTCTGACCAGCACAGAGCGGCATTAGCATTTCTAATTAAAACCTGGACAATCTATGAAGAACACACCAGGCTTCAGTCTAATYGCATGAGATTAGAGAGTTAGGAAGTGTAAGCATTATTGTGTCAGTGAGTTGAGAGACAATACACACTTGAGACTGGTATTATACCATGTGTGTGTGTGTGTGTTTGGGTGAGCGTGTGTATGTTTACACGAGGACGGTGGATGTACACTCACACTTCAAGGCGTGATCGATGTCTCTCCCATGCTGCGCAGCCAGAGACTCCAGTTTGCTTTGGGCTATGGAACCATGTGAAAGGTCCTGTAGGAGCTCTGGGCCTGAAAAACAGAAAAAGGAGGTTTAGCAAAGCAGGATATTATTATATTTAATTGCTCTCTTTTAAAAAAAAGGTGCATAAAAAACTCAAGTATAAGTAAATTACATTTGTAGAAGTCAATGACAGGACCTTATTAGAAATTAAAAATATATTTTTGTTATGTACCTTGCATTATTACTGTATTGCAGTGTGTTTGAATGAAGGTTAATAAATATGTATTTTGTGTGTACAGAATGTAGCATAGACAGAAGTGCGCTTTCTGGCTCTTCTGCAGCACACACCTCCCTTTTCCTGCAGCATGAAATCCACGGGGTTGCTGACTGCCGACACAGAGCACCTGGGGATCACCAGGATAACTCGCACCTTTTGAAGTCTCTTATCACCCCCCATCCAAAGACTGGAAGACCTCCTGTGTCAGCTTCACGTCTGGGCAGCGTACACAGTGACGAGATAAGCAGTACGATCAGTGACACTTTCTCCTCTGTGCTTTCATTCTACTTACAGTGTTCCACTCTTCCTTTACTCCAAAAATTCTTGCCTTGGGGTATTTTTCTTGCAATTATAAAAATCTCACCTCAGACCTTTTCTTGTAATTGCCTTTCTAAAGACTAGCAGAGGTGGGAGCCACTTTCAGCAAATAATATTCATACAGACTGGATCTCCGCYGAATACCTGGTTTTAGAGCACACTGATATGATTCACGTACAGGTATCCCTGGGAATTTACTGTCAACAGCTAGCCTMTTTTCATCAAAAGATCTGTCATTTCACTTTATATTTAGTGTACCAGAAATGTCTTTAAAAAAACTTAAAGGAAAAAAAATACAAATAATGACATCATTGAAAAGACAAAAGGGACTTCTCTGCTTTGGTTCCTTTCATTTGCTCCTTTGTGTCTAACACAGACACAACACTCCCATGTTTACTGTCGCAGCCCATGATGGAGACCGTGTGCTGAAGCTCCTCCCTCTGAGCATCCGTGCAGTCGCTGACACAAACGTAGCCCGTCGGCTGCTTGCTGCTGATGGCTTTGTGTTTCTCTGTAACGAGGGAGGCCATGTGGGACACAGTGAGGCCAGAGAAGCAGCCCACCATAAGAATGTCTCCTTCCTCTCATGAGAGGGAGCAGACTGCATTTGGGACAAGACTGCAAGATTTATCCTAGAAAAAAAAGAAAATTGTGTAAAAAAAACTCTCTAAAAGCAGATTTATAACATTTTGAGACACCAAAACACAAACTAAGAAAGAATGGCACAAAGGAAAAGAGACGTTTTTTTTTCAAAAAGCAGATTAAAAAAAAGAAAAATGCAGTGTTATTGACTCATAAGAGAAAAAATTAGATGAGCTCTGAATGTTTGATTAAATTTGGTCAATACATCAGATTTAATTATGTTGTGGTTTACAGTTTGTGTGGCAGCTTAGTTTATGTGCAATAGAAATTTCATGATGAAATTCTCACTTCTTTTCCAACAGGACCGTTCTTTATGGCCCAAAATGAAGTTCYGCCATTTGAGTGGAAGTGGTGTAAAATATTTGCATGGGTGGAAAACTAATCTCAGCTGTGGTTTTACGATCAATGTGACCTACAGTAGTCCACCACAAATATAAAACCAGAAATACTGTGAAGATTTGTGGAACGGAGCATATTTCCTCAGACGCATAAATATCGCCGATTTTGTCAAAAACGTCCTTTTTCTGTGCAGTTTGTCCCTGGAGGATGAGTTTGTTCTCKCAAAACAGCTTGGAGGAGTTTGAGTGAGTTTTCAGCTGAGCTGGGAACACCAGACTGTCCACACAGAGCGTCTGACCCCCCAATAGTCCAGTCGATTTCACCTGCATTCCTCAGTACATTCTGGACCTCGTCAGGACTGGAAGCACAGGTGTGGTGAAACAATAAGTGCAGATTAGAGAAGAGGAGGGCTTAAAGGAAAAACGGTTGCGGCTAGGACAAAGAGGAGCATGACTAGCATGGATCATATAAGGGTGCAGAATGTATTTTTTGATCTTTCCAAAGACTTCCATAGTTACTTTATAACTCTAGCTACACTAAGTAGAAATACTTTGTTACTGTACTTAAGTAGAATTTTTGGGTATCTGTACTTTACTTGAGTAATTTATTTTCAGCACACTTTTTACTTCTACTTCRTACATTTTCACACAATTATCTGTACTTTCTACTCCTTACATTTTTAAAAAAGGCAAGAAGTAGAAAGTCGTTCCTTTTATTTCATTTTTGCTMGTTTTCATTCCAGCTTGTTGTTGTAAAAAATAAATACTATCCKTATAAAGTGAACCTCCTAGATAGAGTGGATTTAACTGTGGTTGAATGAGAAGTATAAATATATAAAATTCTGATAGCGTATTAGTTTGTACACAAACAAATCATGTCACACTCCAGCAGGACATAATCATTAAAATAAAAGGACTGTACTTAAGAAGTATTTGTATTTCATGAATTATATTTTGCATTTGGCTGCAGCCCTCAGATAGATTTTCATTTTGGGGAAAAGGTTTGTGCAGCCTTTATACAGTACAGTATATGTATATAAACTGAAACAGCTGGACTAATGCATCTTAAATTGAACATCAATTAATTATTTTAATACAACAGTCATTTCTGCAGTTCTTTGGGGAGGTCACCTCCTAATAAATGTCATTACGTAAAATCTAACTGCTCATTTTAAATCAATACTTTTAATTTTAATACTTAAGTACAAAAATATCAGATACTTTAAGACTTTTACTCAAGTAATATTCCTAAAGGAGACTTTAACTTTTACCAAAGTAATTTTTTGGTAAGKTACTTGTACTTTTACTCAAGTATCACTTTGTGGTACTTTATACAACACTGAGTGTAGCTGCTGTAAAATCCTCTATCACACTCACACACAGAACACACATTTGTCCCAACAGGTGACCTTTACAGTCCAAGAGCTGGTTGAGAGGTGTTGCTGATTAAACCTGTGCACAGAAGCAGGATTTACACCTACCTGAATCAGTCTTGTTGGAGCATATTCCCATACACATACACACACACACATACACACACACACAAACACACACACACACACACACACACACACACACACAGACTATTGTGGTTTAATTGGCTGTCAGCTGAGCCCTAGTCCGTAAAACACTGAGCAGCACCACAAGATAAAGCTTGGTGTATGTCTTCTTTAGGTGCCCTCTCGTGTTTATGTGCAGGTGTGCATTAAAAAGGATCTCTGTTATCTGTATCTGTGTAAAACCAGCTCACCTGCTCTMCAGGGTGTTGACCCATGCACAAAGAGGCAGGCTGGCTGACATCTCCTGCTTCTTTCTCACACTCTCTGGCAGGAAACTCGCAATGAATAAGATGTTGAGTTTGGTCCAGCAGCGGGCCAAAGAGGCTGCCAGCTTGGTTTTGGACCTGCAAAACAAACAAAAGACACAAATTAAATAAGGCAATCATGTTTGTGTATTTATTTATTTATTTATTTATTGATTTTTACTGCAACGAAGGAGAAAATCCTCCACATCGCTTACTTCCTGAATGACCTCCTCCTTCCCTTGGCGTCGCCGGGCCAGAAACTCCCTGTTCTGGAAGTCCCAGAGCATGATGGCGACAAGGCTCATGTGATCATCAGGCTAAACCGTAAGAGAAAAAAGTACATATAATCTGTGACCTAAAAGACTTTAAAAAGCTAAAACCGAAAGCACAAACAATAATAGTCTGTTTTTGTTTATTTTATATCTTTGTTTTAAAATGAAAATCGAATGACCAAAAAGTACACAAACCTGGATTGTTCATTGGTTTCTACAAAAATGATGCAAAACCACTCAAAGGTGTCCTTATTTAACCTTATTTAACTCCACAGCTGCCACTTGATTAAACCTAGGAGGAGGTCTATGTTACGTCTCTATCTTTCCTCCACACATACTTTCCCATCTCTCTTTCCTCCTCTCCATGCCTATGCCCTCTCTCCATCCCCACCTTTTCCTCCCAGAGGGTTGGAGGGCATCAGCCGCATTAGTAGCAGATGGTGTTCCATAGCAGCAACAGCTTGCCACATCCTCACTGCTGGGATAATGGGCAGAGACACCAGAATGCAACAAGGATTTATGCTGAAGCCAAGGAATTAGCAAGCACTTATTATTCCTTCCACAGGCTTCAATTTCATTTTTTTTTTTTTTAAAAGGTCAATTTCTCAGACAGGTTGTTGCAATCCGCTTGTCCTCTCTCATCTTCTCAAGTTCTATCTGAACATTTCCGAGATTTAAACCCTCGAGTGAGAAGACTCCTCTCTCACAGGCAACACTGTCCCATAACCTGCTTTAGAGTACACGTTTATTAATTCCTGATCCAGYCGTCTGACACTAGAAATTAAACTGGACACAGTTTTGAAAATGTTTAAATAACTAAACTAACTTATTCAACAGTTTAATTCAAGTAGGTAACATTAAACTTGTGATTCATAGCAGTACTTAACTTCAGTGTAAATCTCAGGTAAAAACAGTAATAAYCACAACGGTTAAGCTTTTTCAAATAACTAAATAATAACTACAAGTGAAATATGAATAAAGTACTCAGTGCATTCAGTACACAGACTGCTTTGAGGTATGTATTGATGAGCTCAATGCACTGAATAAGATGCTACCAAAGGTTCTTGGGAAACAACTAAATTCTAATCCTTGTTTTATTTGTATGAAACTTATYCTAAAATGGATGAKGTTTAAATAAGGCTGGCCAGAATTTTGGCATAATTTCATTTTGGTGCCAAGATCTTCCTAGTCTCTACAGGTAAACGTCACCCTACACTGTAAAAAATGAAATGTTGGATTTACTTWACCATGTTATGTGACCTGGTTCCACTTAACTGAGTTGAGTAAATTCAAAGCAATATACCAGTTTTTTAACCAAAGAACATGAGCATATTGCTTTGAATTTACTCAACTCAGTTAAGTGGAARCAGGTCACATAACATGGTTWAGTAAATCCAACATTTCATTTTTAGAGTGTAACATGTTGGGAAGACGACGTAGCAGTGCTCAGAAGTTGTATTTTTCTTTTATTACCTCTAACCTGTTACCTCCATTAGACTCCATTATTTTTCATGTTGAAGGACGGGTAGTAATAAAATGAAAAATTAAGCAATGCAGCAGTTTTTGGCAAATAGAATACAGATTAATGAGACTGCTGGGATGTTTTATTAGCTTTAGCACAGACGTTCTTTTTATTTAAGTTTTTTTATCCATTATTTGTAGTGTTCCTTATCCCGGCCCCTGGCATCAGTCACAAGTTAAATGTTTTATWGTTAGCCTGACAACCATAAAAGCACATCATTTAGGTAAAAATGTTGAACGTTTAAAGTGGGTTTCTCGTCATTTTTAAGCTGAAGCAGTCTGATTATGTTGCTGATAACCTCTGACCACATATTTAAATACAAAATGTAAAAAAAATCAATAGTAAAGTGGGTTCAATATAATAATTTCTGAACATTGTGTTTGGCTGAGTTAACAGATTCAGAAGCAGCCAGGTGTGCTTTGTACCTTATGTTTGCTTTGCCAGATTTTACATCATCACACAGGTTATTTCTACCCTCCTCGGGATTTWGACTTCATTTTCTCTCCATTGTGATTGAATGAGCTCCAGGCCTCAAAATCTATCTATAGCTTAGTTTTTTTTTTCATGCCACTCTATTTCCAATACCCTCGTGCGCTCCATTTTTATGGCCACCTTGTTCTCTCTCATTCGCCCCTTCTCCTTTCTCTATCAAGGTTGAACTTTATAGAAGCCAGCGGTGTGAAATAAGGTGYAAGAGAATTCCAAAGACTGTCTCATTGTGTCCAGGCTTTATTGTTTAGTYAGAAGGATGCAGAATAACGACCTGCCACCGACACATAGGGAGAGCCATTCATTTCAACCAAGGCCATATTTTAGAGGGCTGCATGGGACGTACGTGTGTGTTTGTGGGCGCTGCGATGCAAACACAAATCTGACTGCTAATGTGTCTCTATATGTTCAAACTTGCACTAAAGTAAAAGCTGTTCGTGTACAATCTTTCACCTGTGACAACTGTTTTCCATTTACAAAATCACTATCTCCTGCTGTCATTACCCTTCTTCTCAAACAGCCCACTATGCACAACAGCTCTGTATTCTGTGCATGTTTTATCACCAGCCAGAATGTTAGAAGAAATAGCCCCAGAGGTCCTCCCTTTTCTATAGCTTCTTTTATTATTGAGTGTTAAGCGTAAAGCAAAAGTACACATCAATCTCCCCCAGAGGGTACCTATTAAGTAGCAGGGCGTACCTCCTGAGTCTAATAGCTGCTTCACAGTGAACCTTTTGAGAATATATATATATATTTTTTTTTTTATGAAAGATAGCAGAACAATAATATTCAGCACAGTAGCTGTGGGACACATGTAGCATACAATTTGCAGAAAACATTTAAATGCTAAAAACAAACACTTCTCCTTGCTTGTTGCAACTATTTGATCTTAAAACTATTAGCTTAGAGCGTTCATTAAAGAGAAAAACACAACCAGGTGTGCTCAGCCACATGTACTGTAGCTCAGGGAGTGGCTGTCATTGACTGAGGTATAAAACACAAATACTGTATATCAAGGTGCTTTTTGGGTTTATGAAAGAAACATCTTAGTGCAAAAAAAATAACAAAATACAACACAATTGTGGAGTGTAAACAGTACCACATGAATACCAGAGTATAATAAAGAGGTTTAACGTGCCYCTATCCAGGAGCATGTTGCATCTCTCTGTGACATTATGCAGATTTACATGAGGGATTAAACACTGATGCAGTACAACACACAATGTGAAATTCACCCACCTTTGGTTGAGTGAAAAAAAAAGCGACTGTTGATCATAATACCCTCCAGCAACTCTTGATCTGTGCAGAAAAAAACTAATCCAAGGTTAGGCAGAATGACAACTCAAGTAATAATGAGGGTTTTGCACGCTAATTGTACGAATGAGTAACGACGATGCAGATTTGTGCATCTTTATATCAAAATTTAATTATCTCGGAGGAGAAAAAAAGTCTTATTTGTAGAGGGTAAATGAGGCAGAAGAAATTACCCTGATGGTAAATTTATAAGATGAAGGATAAACCCACATCCGATGATAACAACAGGGTTAGGAAAACAAAAAAAAGAGAGAAAACATTAAGAGAAAGAGCTAAAGTGGTTCCTAGAATCCCCTAATTTCATTTTGAAAAGATAATTCAATTAGATCGGGGTTTAATTTTCCATGATTAAATGCTTATTTGATGCTTAATTAGAGCTAATCCGATTCTTCGTTTGCCTCATTTCTTTCTTTCATTTATTATGTCTGTGGCTAACGGGTGTGTGAAAAGGAGTGATTACACTTACAGCTTTAGACTTAATAAACCGAATACACCAAAGCTTTATCAGAGAAAACACATGCAGCAAGCATGAAAGTTGGTTATAATAGTCTAAAAGCAGTTCATTTGTGGGTTGTCATTTAATTCTCACTGTCCTCAATATTTTTCAGACATGTACCTTTATTATATGACATTACACGGATCTGTCATCTCTTCAGTCTGTTGAGAATATTCCTTTTGTTACGAACCCCACAGAGAAGCAGATTTCATTTTACAATTGCATTTGTAAAGCCTGTGAAAACAGATGCTGGAATTTCTTGGCTACCTAGATGACATCTTTAATTCACTTTAAAAAATATATTAGAAGTGCAAAAAATGATATAGGCTTACTAAATAAACCACACGTCTCCTTCATATATAGTTTAAAAATAGATTTGATTCACAGCTGGTGAAATGGCTGCGATCAGTGTCCACACCATGTACTGGCACATCATTTAATTAATACAATAATAATGATTTAAAATTACATTTCTGCTTTGTGTTTTTATCAATACAAACCCTTTGAGCTTGTTGATGGTAAGAATGTTTAAAAGCCACTTCATGAGTTCAATAATGCCAGTGCAGGCATGGCAATGTGGGGTATTTTAACTCCTCAAGGTAACATTTGCTTCTATATTGAAAATATAAAAATACTGTACTATATTGTTGTTTTTTAATCGACATCTGGACCTTGACTGAACATTTTAGGTAGCTTTTAAACTTGTGTTAGATGTCAAATTGCTCAGTGAGACAATAATTACCGGTCCTCAAATTTTGCTTTCTTAGATCAGGACATGGGTCTAAAAATGCTAAGAAAAGTTGCTCTATTATTTCATTATATTTATTTGGTTCACAGTGTTTTTATTGCTTTTCCCTAACTGTTATGTCACTAAAGTAAAAATGGTCCTGTAAATAGATTTTTTTTATTAGTTCTCAGTATTGGAGTAAACGAACATCAGCATTGTTTATTCTCTCCTTTTTTTGGTAAAAAATAAAAATAAAAACAGCAGCCAGGTCCCAATGCAAGTGGTGCTTACAGAAACCCAGACAAAAGAACAATTTCTCTAATGTGTGAGTCCAGTGAGGCAGAACAACAGCTCTTTGGGCTTTTGTTAAGCAGCAAATAAAAAGGTGGAAACAAAAGTCATGTGTTTCTGTAWGTGTGAAACCACAGTTGCTAAATGAGTAAAAACACTCATTGAGCTCATTACATGTGCGGTCACCGTCTGCATTATTTCCAACACAAACCGCGTGCAGTGAAGCACCATGGAAAGCACACACACACACACACACACACACACACACACACACACACACACTGCTGTTAACCTAACGCAGCAAGTCATGGCAAACTGCTGGTTCCTGGCCAAATGCACCCTGGGCATCCCCAAAAGGGCAGGACAAACAGACAGATCTGCAGGTACAACTGCACACACACACACACAAAATTGGAAACCAAAATGTATGTTTCTTTGTGATAGAGCTTATCTTTAATTGAGGACACACAGGCATACAACATTAGCAGTGGTCTTTATGGTTGCTAAGGTTTAAAATTCTGCAGAAGGTCTTGTAGATAAGCTCTTAGCAGATAACCACTCACTGTATGRTGCAAACCAGACCCCAAAGGGGGTCTTGACAGTTGGCACTGTGGAGGGGTCAGTGAGTGTTCACATACTATAAATCACACACAGCAATTTGACTATAAAAAATAAATTTCAGTCATAAATCACTTACAGCAGGCATAATCAAAAAGCAGGCACATTGCTTGGGTTTTACCTGAATACAGAACAWCACAACCATGTCAGTCTGGTGTAACAGTGGTTTAAAAAAAAATAAAAGAAATGGGGAGTGTCCTCCATTGTCACGTTAGGGGTGAACAGTAMTCACTGCAAGGCTCATTTTGAGTTTGTGTGTTTTGTGGCTTCCATTCAAGTCCTGAACAATGAGCATCCAGTGACTGATGGTGACTGCAGTCAAACAAATTCTTAGTGCAAGACTGAACCTGAATCAGATCTCCAAGTTTTTGTCTCGCAGCAAACCCAGCTGGACATTAATCTAACTGTGGGCAGGCTAAGAAAAGGTCATCACTACAAGTCACCCATTCACCTTTGGGCTAAAATGCTCTATGTATCTTACAGTTTTAATTTTTGCTGAGGCATACTGGTTGTAAGCTCTGTGATCCAAGGTCAAGGACAAAAACAGTATTTTTCTCTTATGCTGTAAGACCAGCATAACAAGAAAAAAAAACCTGTGTTGCTCAGACAGCAGCAGCCTCAGTAACTCTGCGGTGTGGCAGCCTAGTTGGACAGTATGGACAATGAAGCTGAAATACTCTCAGGGGCAGCAGGCAGAAAAATAGAGGGGGGGAGAGGATGGCTTTCACAGCTAGCAACAAGGTCAATTAAATTTCAACCGGCAAAGTCTTGTCGAAAAAAAAATTCCTTTACAAAGCTGAACATCAGCATAAACCTCACGCTATAGGACATACTGTATTAGCAGCTAATGAGATATGAAGACTTGACAATATAATCTGCCCCTGGATCGGTGATCAAACAGATAGCTGCTCAGGTATGTAAAAGGGTTTTGTTAAGCAAAGAGGTCAGAGGCATAGAAAAAGAACAGAAGATTTTAAAAATGGAACAAAAGTCACTGGAAATAGGGGCAAAAAAAAACAAAAACCCACAGATAATATTTTTCTCTAAGCAGCTTTAGCTTTGTCTTTCTCTTTAAAATGTCCCATTTACAGCAGGTTTATCAGCATCACCATGTAAGTATTGGCAGATAAGCAGAGCTGGACACGAGTCTGTGCTGTCAGCCCACAAGATGGAGCTTACTGAGCAAGTTTTTGTTATGAGCAGATAAGAGTTATAATCACAAGATCAATACCAGGGCTCATTGGCATTTTTCCTCTGCATGTTTTGCTGCTGCAGCATTTCTTCTAGACCTCAGCTCAATTTTGGATTAGTCACTGGAAGTAAAACAAATGGCACAGCTTATGTATGTGTGTGTACGTACAATGTGTGGCTGTCAGTATGTATGTAACACATCAATTTCTACAACAGATGGTGTCCAGTCTGTAGCAAGGGCAGAGATTTGTTCAAACTGAGGCAGTAAATGTCAAGATACAGCGAGCACAAAATGACGTCATCAAAATGTTGCATGTCTCTACCAAATATACTGTTACACCTGATGTTATTCACTGTACACTGTGTGTACTAAAAAGGTACAAAACCATAGTTTATATAAAGAATAGCACAAGAAAACAAGTGAATAATCGCTAATAAATTACAACGTTCCCGTTTCTCCTTTTTTGACAGAGTTCTGCAAATGAATGTCAATGACGCACAGAACCGAACAGGAAAAAAGGGAGGGAACATTTCAGATCTGTGGAAATGTTATGAGCAATTAATTTCTCTATGAACAACCTCAATTTGAAAAAACAATTTTTTTTTTGATTAGCTCTGACCGGATTACCAAACTGACAGTCAAAGCAGAGCCGAGTGAATCATTGCCATCTTAGAAAGACTCAATCTTTAAAAAGTTTCTAATGGACTAGGGCTGAGCAATATGCC